CTGTCGCCATTTGGGGCGGTTCCCGTTGGAATTTTTGATGATTTTTTTAATCATCTTATTCATTGAGTCTAGTTTACTCATACCAAATTTTAGCTAAAACTTCAATCGAGAAGACATTCAAATGAATTCTTGAAGATTAATGCGCAGTTAAAAACGCATTTATTTTCAAAAATTTATTTCAATGCCTTCCCGATTGAAGTTTTAGCTGAAATTTGGTATGGGTAAACTAGACTTAATGAACAAGATGTTCAAAAAACTTCTTCAAAAAATTCCACAGGGAACCGCCCCAAATGGCGAAGGCCGGACAGAACCTCCTATATAAAGCCTTATTTGACCTTTTTATGTAAGTTCGATGCCCTATCTAACCCTTTTCTCTTTTTTTTTTTTAATGAAATACGTATGAATATGTACGTATGGTGTATGTATTATACATTTTAGTCTTAAAATACGAATAAAAAATCATAAACATGAATATAATACTTGAATTATATGCGAACTATATACGAATAAACGAATAACTATTACTCTGTGCATTCCATTTTAGTATTGATAATATGAAAATGATATTAAAATGCTCTCTGTTATAAATACTATCAAAAATGGAGATAATACTCTGTGCATTCCATTTTAGTATTGATAATACTGACTTTTAATCATAGTCATGAATTAAGCAATACTGACTTTGAATCCTAATCTTTCATTAAGTGAACTGACTTTTAAACCTACTCATTCATTAAGAATACTCCTACCTCATGAATTACATTGACTGACTTATGCTAATTTTTTTTAAGGGAATTTGGGGCATGTGATAATGAAGAAGCTAAACAGGAATACTTTAGCAAGTCAGGGTTGGCACGTTGATTTCAATGGGGATGATGGCTATGTAATAAAAAAAAAAGGAAGGCAACAACTCACTGTGAGCCTCAGAAAAATAACTGTTCTTGAAGGAGATGGAATCTCAGTGGGACCCCTTGTGCACATGCCATATGTGCAATATTTGATAAGGGAGATGATAAGGGAGATGATCCTGAAGCATATGTGGACAATTGCTACTCCAAAGAGATGTACCGGAGGACTTACTCATATACCCTCCAACCAATTAATGGGGAGTTATTGTGGTCAAGAACAGAGCATGAAGAGATTATGCAACCCTTGCCCAAGAAAATGACTGGGAGACCTAAGAAGAAAAGGGTACGAGAAGAATATGAAGTCTGAACCACCACCTATAGGTACCCAAGTTAGCAGAAAAGGGAGAATAATGACTTGCTCCATTTATAATAAGGAAGGTCACAACAAAGCTTCATGTCTAATGATTCTCTTGGGGATGGTGTAGCCACAGTAAGAGCAAGAGGAGGTAGAGGTAGGTCTACTCATTCAACGGGGGATGGTGAGGCCACAACGAGAGGAAGAGGAGGTAGAGAAAGGTCTAGAGGAGGTACAAGTACTAGGGCTAGAACACACAGAGGATTTGTGGTTTACTTCAACTCCAACACTAGTGAAACCATTTTAGATGTAAGTAATAAGAGCATTTATAAATAATAATAATAACATAAGGATCATTCTTAATGTTATACTATTTTACATCATTGCAGTCCGGACAAGGAAGTGAGAGAATCATGAGTGAAGGGTGCCCAAAAAGTTGAAGTGTTGGAGTGAAGGCTATGAAAGTGAAGGATGTGAAGTGAAGGCTAGGGGTGGATTCGGTTCAAACGGTTCGGTTTTCACCTAAAACCAAATGTCGAACCAAAGTAATAAGTTCGGTTCGGTTCGGTTTTATGTTCAAAATTTTGGAACCACGGTTTGTTCGGTTCAGTTTATTTCGGTTCGGTTTCGTTTTTTTTTTTGGTTTCTACCGAAGTATTTTGGGAAAGTTCCCGAAATAGGAGTAAATAAGTTTGAAAATTCAAAAATAGGATTGTCATGTTTTTATTTCCAAAATAGGAGTAACTACTGTCAGGTTTGGAAAATACTGTTATCTTTACAGTCTGGTACTGCCAAAACATGGCAGTAATTAGTCTATTTTGGGAATAAAAACATGACAGTCCTATTTTGGAATATACAAACGTTTTTAGTCCTATTTAGGGTAATTTCCCAAGTATTTTTGTTGATTAAAAAAATAGTAATTGGAAAAAAAAACTACATCAAACTATTATTAATAGTAATACAATACATAAACATACATAATAAAAAAGAGAGAAGAAACAAATGCACTTCCAAGCAATGAATTAGAGAGTACGTGTATACCAATTTAATCATTTTCTAAATTAATTAAACACATGAGTTTATTTGTGAATTATATACGGTGTATTCACAAGTTAACATTTTATTAGTAAATAACTTAATCTACTTTCTTTTTAGAGAAATATATTTATGCTTTAAAGTTTTAAATTTTCTGCTATGTTGTTTAAAGTATAGTTTATATTAATACATATTTGTTCAATAAGAAAAATCATGTGATAACAAACATACATAACATATAATTATCAACAAAGTATCATTGTCATGCAACAACGAGCAAAATGTAAATTACGGTTTAAAATATCAACAGATTAGTATTATAGCAATAGACTTAAATGTATGTATACGTGTTTCACTTAGTTAAACCATAAATATTAAATGTCAATATCTTGCAAATCATAATAAATCTAGTATCAAACATTAATTTTCCAGAATTAAGAATTAATAACTAAACAAAATATTATAATTAATGATTAATAAATAAAATAACAACTTTTAAAAAGTTCGGTTTATTCGGTTTGGTTCGGTTTTGAGATGTGAAAACCAAAACCGAAACCAAACAACTACGGTTCCGTTCGGTTTCGGTTTTCTTGCGGTTCGGTTGTTTTGGTTGCGGTTCGGGTTTTTTCGATTCGGTTTCGTGTTTTTTTTATTAAAGTATGATGCAGGCTTTGTAATACGGAGTACATGTCATGCTACTTGTTTGGTTGAACCGTATGTTTATAAAACTCAAACATTTATACACAATAACAAGGGCAACAAGGCCCCAGGTGTTCAACAGACTTATCCCATCACTACAAGGCAAGAAAAACCAGGCCTGCACTTCATAAAAACCAGATGTGCACACTCAAAGTTCACAAGCCAAAAAAACCAAAATCATTTGTTTGGTAAGTTGAAGTGATTATTACTGGTACTAGCAAATAAGCCTTCAACAACAGTACTAATGGTTCTTACATTCATTTATTACATTTCATGTCCAAAGCCAAAAAAAATAATTCCTACCACTAAAACTAAGTGCTAATAGCATTGACATAGGCCATTGTAGCAAAAGCAAGTATTGCAATTCTAGCAAACCCAAACAACATCCTAAACAGTTTTGCATTCCTTGCTTCACTCTCAATGACCCTTTTGAGACCATCAACATTCTTTGTTTGACTATCAATCACCCTTCTAAGACCTTCAATTTGTCCTTGCATTGCGCTTAACTAGTCAGCTACTCTTGAGATCACGGCCTTTGCTTCATCTGTATTTTCGTTCCTCTTTTCAGCATTGACTGCTACAGACGTTTACAATCCATCTTTCCACAAAAAGTAACCACACGCCCTAACCTGAAATTCAATGTCACAAATAAATAAATTCTGAAGCTTCTTCTTTGCAGACCAAATTACATAAATTCCAACAATTACAATCAAATAATTTACCTAATTGAACAACAGATAACTATTACCTTCCAATTCTGGCACCCGTAGAACATTCTCCCACTCTCCCGTCCTACACAGAACGGAGCTTTCAATCCGCAATAATAGTACAATGAAGGCTCGTAATCCAATCGAAAGCTTCGTCCTTTGTCGCATTTGAAGAAGATGCAGATGACATTGTATTTGCCACTACTGCAGACGACCTCTAATTAGGGTTCTTGATCGTAATAGAGAATGGATAACTAACGAATGGACAAGAGAAGCATCAGACTTAGTAGGAAATAGATTAAATTGAGAAAAAAAATTAAATTATCCATGTTGGCAGCCACATCAGCAGTTAATAGGCTAAATCGGCTCATTCCCGACTAACAAGACGAATTGATCATTTTTAGCACTTTAGGGACTTCGTTGAAGCTTAAAGTAGTAGAAGGACCCAACTGACTTTTTTAAAAAAGTACGAAGACCTATTTGATAGTTTTCCCTAAAAAGTATAAGATGGTCTATAAATAAAAATATTGTGCAGTGCAGCTGTTTTTAGGACAGTTTCTTTTCCAACACAAGAAATGTGCACATTATTTTGAAACAAACCAAAAATGGAAGTAAGACATTTTATTAAAAGAGGGAGTATAAAGCATGGTTAGATATTTCCACCTAAAATAATGTGTGAAATGAACTAATGAGCTCAGACCAACTTGTATTTTGAGAAGTAGCGCAGAGGTTCAGGTCTTTCAAAATTCAAATACCCAAGTAGTATAAAGTGTGAATGGATATTTAATATTAAAAATATAAGTCTATTCTAAATGATTTATGATAAATTTCTTGGAAAATATCTTTGAGGGGAGAAATAGTCATGGACCCGGGCCAGGCTGGTTCCGATTCCGGGCCGGGCCCGGCCAGGCTTTTTTTTTTGGGAAGGAAGGCCCGGGACCGGCCCGGGTAGCCACCGGTTCCAGTCCGGGTCCGGGCCGGTCGGGGCCTCCGTTTTTTTTTTTTTTTTTTGCTTTCCTAACCCCCCCTCACCCCCAAACCTCCTAAACCCCTCCTAACCATCAAGCCCAACCCGGGTGGAACCCCAAAAATGAAAAAAAAAAAATCAATTCGGCCCGGCCCCGACCCGGCCGGTTCGCCGAATATAAGACCCGGGCCTAGGCCCGACCCGGACCCGGACCCGGACCCAGCAGGCCAGTTCCGGTCCCGCACAATAGTGGGCCGGGCCAGTCCCGGGCCGGGCGGCCCAAACCGGGTCCAAGACTAGGGAGAAAGTGAGTTACGCAGTATTTATTAAAGTTCACCTTCGAGGCTTCGAACAAATTGAAAATCTTACAAGTTACGATTCAAATTATCGGGAGCAAAAAAGTGGAACAATTGAAGTGATATGATAATAATATAATGGCTAAAATCGAAATAGATCCGGCCGAAAAACAATCAATATACGGAGCATATATTATTTTATAAATCCTACTAAATCACAAAAATATAGAACATCTATTGGATCTCACATGGGAGAGTAGAACCAATACACAACGTTGGATAATTGTAAATAGAGGATGAGAGTTATATCGTCCACGTCAAACAAAACGAAAGTAACATTCCAACAAGCCAAACCAGCTTCAAACTCGTTTTAAATCTCTTACCTTCTGCGCTTCTTTTATTTTTTCTAGTAAACTGATTTCTCTCCTCTCTTCTCTTTTATTTTTAAAACGTCTCTTTAAAGTTTAAGTGCATGGCTTTCATGTCACAGACAGTGCTGTCGCCTGTCATCAAGATTGCATTTTGTGTTGTTCTTCCAACCCCCACCAACAAAAAAGTGCCGCCTTCAATTGCTTGAGCTGCTAGCTGATATTCCCTGAGCGGTGATTGATGACCTACTGAGAAATGGTTCAGCATTAGATTGTCGTTGTGGTTGATGTTGTTCATCCAGAGTAACAGCACTCACACTCTGAGCTGTTGCTTAAGCACATCCGAACGTGGACTTGAAAGAGAAGAGTAGTGAATGGTTGGTGGCAAGATCCATTTCGCCCAGTCATTCCGCGCCCTTAATTTCCCATCCTGCGTAATGAAAAGGCATGCCTTCAATGTATGCACCAACAAAAAAACATCCATTGTTTACTACATGTTCTAAAAATACTGGCCTAAGATATTAGGTGATGACACGGTTCCAGTCTGGTCCATCCTAGAAAAATAAGAAAGTTAACTAGAATCACAGGTAAGTAGGTCCCAGTTCTGGTCTGGTTCTGTTTAAATTGTGAGTTACACTATTTCAAAGGATGTCCCAATTCGATTTCTAAGACCACCAGTTCAGGCCTCCATTTAATAAAGTCGAAACATTAGATCATGGTCCGGCCTAGTGTCCATTCACCCTTACCCTACATTTAAACTTAGGTAAAAGTAGCACTTGGGACTTGGGAGTGAATCCCAAATGTACCCAACTACATCTATATAATAGTTCAAGCCATAGTTTACAAGATGGATATATAATTATATATGTATGTGTGTGTGTGTGCATCTTTTAATCTAAAGAATTGATAGAGTATATGGGCCTGGACCCCATGGCCCACATACCCAACGGCCCAAAAGACACCAGCGGAACACCCGCATCGCCCAGAGGCGCGTAGCGTCCAAGAGAGAAGATATCGCCCGATTTTTATGGACCGCATCGTCCATGGACCGCACCGGACATGGACCGCGTCGTCCATGGACCGCGTCGTCCATGGACCGCATCGTCCATGGACCGCATCGTCCGGACTTCGTCCGGGCAGAATGTATTTTCCTATTTTTTGTACTAAGTGTTGTACTCAGCCCATTAGTGGCCTCATTCGCCCAAAGAAGGCATGATTATTGTAATGGGCCTCCTAAGCCCAAGGCTAGGGGCCCAAATCTACATTTTTACCTATAAATAGACCCCAAGGGGCTAATTATAGGGGATTCTTTTCCCAATTGAGAAATATAATTACTCACTTTCTCTCCCTAGCTCTCACTTCTCTCTAGAATTAATACTCCATCATTTGGTGCTCTCGTTGAGAGGTAGAACAGATCAAGTGAGTACCCCTCGTCGCTACTAGACGCAACAGAATGACAAGAACTAGGTCAAAGAACACTGGTAGGAATGCCCCACTGAACCAGGAAGGGCAGGGAAACGTTGCTGACAACGTCCCCAATGATCTCATCGTCCAGGATGAGAATGCTCAGGAGGTCGAGCACGCAGCGGCCGACCTCCGCGTCCAGCTCAACAAGACTGCCCCAGACGCCCGCATCGGGCTCGAGGACAGGCGCAATGCTGATCGCGCTTCGGGCCAGCAGACTTCTCACCCTGCTGCCCCCCAGATCAACCCGGCCGCACTATCGGCCATCGTCGCGAGCATTCTCCAGGACCCCAACGTGGTCAGCGCTCTCGTCGCAAAGACAGGGGAGAACAACACTCCGGCAACTGGAGAGGTCGCAACGGTGCCACCACCGCCACCTCGTCCGCAAGGCGTCACCTTCTTCGGTGACAACGAGGACGTCCTCGCCGTGGACACCCATTCCCACACTGCCTCACCTACCCGGGATACACCGGCCCAACCTCGCGGTAAAATCTCAGCCTTTAACAGGCTGGGTGACATCGCGAGCCGTCGGGTACCTACGGGAGGGGTGGCGGGTCGGTTGGGTGGCCGCGAGCCGGGGTCGCCAAAGGAAAGCTTCGGGTCCGTTTCCCGGACAACGGATCGGCCCCGACAAGACAAAGGAAAGGGAAAACTGAATGATGATGATGCGCGTCATCAGATCAACCTGGCCCACGCGGCCCGGATCCAGCCCCCGCTGGGTGGCGCCACGGCCAACACGGACCCAAGGGACGAGATCATCGCCCGCCTGGAGAAGCGCCTCGCAGACATGGAGGCCCGAGAGGCCGCAGGGCGCGCATCGGCCCACGCATCCCAGCATCCCAACTACGACGCGCTCCTGAGCAAGGTCAGTGCTCTGGAAAGGGAGTTGGCTGACCGGCGCGATGAGCCCGTCATCCAGATACGGACCAGAACCCCCTTCTCTGCGAGGGTGCTCTCCGCTCCCATCCCAGAGAAGTACAAAGGGAATCCGATCAAGCCATATGACGGCCGCACTGATCCCCAGGAGCACTTCACCCGTTATCAGAACAATATGATGATGACCAACGCTTCGGAAGAGTACATGTGTCGCTGGTTCCTATCCACCTTGGAAGGACCAGCGTACGATTGGTTCAACAACCTTCCGGAGGGGAGCATCGACTCATGGCAGGACCTTGCTCAACGCTTCCTCACTCACTTTGCCGGGAGGAAACGCGCGAAGAAGCATTTCGCTCATCTCCTGACCATCAAACAACAGCCGGAGGAGACGCTCCGAGCCTTCCTCGACCGCTGGACGAGGGAGGCGGACGAATGCGAGGGAGCCGATGAACGCACCCTCCTGGCCTTCCTCCGCGGAGCACTCCGGCCGAGCCACTTCGCCCGGAGCCTGTTCACGGAGCCTCCGCGGTCATACCTCGCGGCGCTCCGACGCGGAGATAGGCATGCTGATGCCGACGAGCTCCTGAACCAGAAGAAGGGTGGGGAGAAGCAACAAAAAAAGGACTCCTCGTCCAACCCCCACCACCCGCCGGCCAACAAGGGACAGCACCAGCCAAAGAAGGCACACCAGGAACAAGGCGGACAGCGAAGGGATGACCGTTCATGGCGTCCAAAGTTGGAGGCACAACGCATCCCCCTCACCCACCCGGTGAGCGTCGTCCTCGACCACGCCGAGGCGCAGGGCCTCATTGTGAAGGACCCCAGGTCGGAGGAGGAGATATTTGCGGTCCACAAGGGAGGGACGTATTGCAAGTACCACCGCCAGACATCCCACAAGACCGAAGATTGCACCACCCTGAAGAGGCACATCGACGGCCTCGTCCGACTGGGGGAACTTTCCCAATTTGTCAAGGGTGCCCCCAAGAGTAACACTTGGGTTAACCCTGGCAAAAGGGGGGAAGGATCCTCCGGGAAAAAGAGGGAGATCGGCGCCCTCAGTGAAGATGAGGACGAAGAGGAGCCCCGCCAGAAGAAGCATCACATCCACATCATCGTCGGCGGGAACACAGGGGGGGACTCGGCTACCCAACGGAAAAAATGGGCTCAGTCCCTATACGTTGGTGAGGTGACCCACGCCCCCCCTCAGCCGAAGCGACGGAACGTGGAGGCCATCACCTTCACCGACAAGGACCTCCCCTTCGGCCCCTTGCCCCACAGGGATGCCCTCGTCGTCAAATGCGAGATAGGCAACAACATCATCCACCGCAACTACATCGACACTGGCAGCTCTGTCAACGTGATGTACGTTGACACCTTCAGACAACTGAAATTGAAGAAGTCCGAGCTCCGGCCGATACGGACTCCGTTATCCGGCTTCACCGGGGACTCTATCGACGCCGAGGGCACGATAGTGCTTCCCGTTGTGGTCGGTGACGGTACCTGTCAGGCGAAAATTGACATGGAGTTCGTGGTCGTCAACCTGGACAGCGCCCACAACATGATTTGGGGGCGACCGGCCTTGGAGGATCTTGAGGCCATCATCTCCATGAAACACCTATGCCTCAAGTTCCCCACCAAGGACGGCGTCGGCTACGCCAGGGGAAATCAGAAGATAGCCAGGGCTTGCTACCTGAAGCTCACAAGGAAGATTAATGAGGCCGAGGAGCGGATCGACACTATCACCACCGCCTCGGCCCTAGAAGACACGCCAAAGGCCGAACCGGTCGGAGACGTGGAAGATGTTCCGTTGGACGTCTCCCGGCCGGAACGGACGCTGAAGATTGGGACACAGCTCCCCCAACAGATCCAAAGGGACATCCTCTCCGTCCTGAGAGCGTACGCCATCGTCTTCGCATGGGGACCAGAGGACATGCCGGGCATCAGCCCAAAAGTGATTACACACCGACTCTCGGTCGACCCGGCCTCCTCCCCCATCAAACAGAAGAAGCGCTACCTCTCAGCCGACAGGAGAGAATTCGTCAAGGCCGAGGTGGCCATGCTGCTCAACATCAAGCACATCAAAGAGGTGAAGTACCCCACGTGGTTGGCGAACGTCGTCCTCACCCCAAAGCCGCCTACGTTCAGAATGTGTGTTGATTACACTGACTTGAACAAAGCGTGCCCAATGGACCCATTCCCTCTCCCCAACATTGATCAGTTGGTGGATGAGACGGCAGGGTGCGAGTTGATGTCGTTCCTCGACGCGTTCAGAGGGTACCACCAGATATCCATGCATGAAGATGACGCAGAGAAGACTGCTTTTATGACCCCGGAGGGAATTTTCTGCTACCTCGTCATGGCCTTTGGGCTCAAGAACTCCGGCGCCACCTACACGAGGATGGTAGCCCGGATTTTTAGAGCAGTCTTAGGTCGGACGATGGAAGCATACGTCGACGATATGATCGTCAAGAGCAAACAATCCACAACTCATGCCGACGACCTCCGGGGCATCTTCGAAATCATGAAGAGATACAACCTCCGGCTCAACCCAAAGAAGTGCACCTTCGGCGTCCAGGGAGGTAAATTCCTGGGGTACCTGGTCAGTCGAAGGGGCATCGAGGTGAACCCGGAGAAAATACAAGCCATCATCAATATGGAGCCACCCCGCAACATCAAAGAAGTACAACGCCTGACGGGACGCCTTGCGGCCCTGAACCGTTTCCTTTCAAAGTCCGCGGAGAAGTCGCTCCCCTTCTTCCAAATAATGAGAAAGGCCACTAGCTTCAAGTGGACAACGGAGTGCCAACAGGCCTTTGAAGAGCTGAAACAATATCTCGCCTCCCCACCCGTCCTATCCAAGCCCCAACCCGGCGAGACTCTCTTCCTCTACTTGGGGGTGAGCACGTCGGCCATTAGCTCTGTTCTCATCAGGGAGGACGACGGGGTGCAAAAGGCAATATTCTACGTCAGCAAGACGTTGCGGGAGGCCGAGCTCAGGTACTCCCCCATCGAGAAGACGGTGCTGGCCATCGTCCACACGGTGAAAAAACTTGGACACTACTTCCAGGCTCACCCCGTCCACGTCCTCAC